ACGGAATCGCTCTCCCACGCGCGCACTCCCGCTCTCTCTCTCTTTCTCTCTCGCACGATCGCTCTCTCTCGATCTCATCAACGACTCGGTAGATCTCCAGTCGATACCGCGAAAAGCTTCTCAAATCGAGATGTCGCGACGGCAACCGGTAAGGAATTGATCGCTCCGATCTTCCTCGTCCTGTCGATCGCTGATCCGCTCCTCCGCCTTCGCCTTCCCTCTCGCCTGCGCTCAATCTTTTCGTGGTCTCGAAAGTTCGGTAGCCGTGATTATTATTATTCGCGACTTTTCTTCTCGCCGGCGTATTTCGTGGCCTTGATCCAGCGGTATTGTTTCCCGTCTCAGCTGAGTGGGCCCCCCTGGCCCCTCGAGAAACGTCAAGCTGAAAATGTAAACAGTGCGACAGCTCTGGCTCTCGGCGTGACGGTGACAATTATCGCGTTGCCGAATATTCGTGAGCGATCGAATATTTCGACACGCGATAGACGATTCCAGAATGTTCTCTGTTCGATAGCGATCGAATTTTCGAGAACGATTCTGGGAATCGGCGGAAAAGAAAATCGTTACTTAGATCAGGAGCGCAATCACCTGAACGGTAGCGGTGGTGGTGTAGGGGGTGTATATCAGTTGGACACGGGGCAATTGGACACAATCCAATCACAAGTCGCTGTTCCAAGGGACCCTACAAATGTCTCTAATCACACGGTGCTGTGATTGGCTGTGTCCAAATGCACCGTGTCCAAGTGCACCGCTCCCGGTGTAGGCGGTGTTCTTTCGTTCCACGGCGTTCCTGGCTTCTCTCCTCTTTGCGGGTCGGCCAAAAGGGGAGCCTGGGACACAGAACTCGGGGCGAGATGACCTCTCTATGTGCTCCACGAACTTTTTGAAATGTTTAACTGGCGGCGGAAGCCGGCGTACGCGAAACAGGACGCGGGCCCGGTCGCGGCGGCGGAAATATTCGCGAAATCGGTCCTTATTACTTTGTGACGGGCGCCTCCACGGCTGCCACGTCACAATATATATATATATATATATATATATATATATATATATATAATTGAGACTCAAGGATCGGTCTAAGTATGAAAGGTAGATTCGCCGCGTATATTAATCGAAGAAAAATTTCGATACGTGCGTTTGACATACTGGACATAATTATCTTCCCACTATCATATTAATATTATATAAAAGTAATATTAGTATTTAATAGCACTAAAATATCCGTGCTTGCTCCTTATTT